GCACCAAGTAGAACTGAGGATATTCTAGAAACAGAAAAGCTGCTCTGGGAATCTGCAGGACTGAGTCCCTCAGTCACTTGACAGTGGACTCAGAGACAGGCCTGGGGACAGCCTGGGAGTGGAAAAGCCAAGCTCAGCACCCATGTGCCTGTACTATAGGCAGCTCTTCTATGATGGCTCATCACAGTTTAAAACTCTAGGCCCAAAGAATTAGCTTTGTGTCTAGGCACCTCATCTCTATTTATGACACTCCATCCTGGTTTGCTTCACTGCCTGTCTCCCCTCCCATCCTGACCTGAAGCTGCATGCAGTACTAGGCCTCACACTGAGCACCCCAAGCTGCCTAGGGAGCAGGAGACCCAGAACACCCAGGGTTTGTTGGAAACCCAGGACTAAGGGCAACTGCAGGCTGTCAGCTGTCAGTGTAGGGTTGGTCAGGAACCACAACTCTGTTCTGGGCACAGAGGCCTGATCACAGAGAGCCCCCTCTGCCTCAGATGGGGAATGCATGGCCAGAGATAGCAGATAATGTCAGTGCAAGACAAGGAACAGAGATCCAAGAGCTACTAAAGACCAGCTCCACAGGACTTATCCTGATTTAGAAGGGGCTGGGAGGGTCCAAGGTGACAGGCTATGTTTCTGGACAGGGAGACCGAGTGTTTACAGGAGAGCAGCAGGGCCCTGGTTGTACCTGTGGGACCATGATACTGGGATAGGCCAGATCTTGGGCCTGGGGTGGTGTAACAACACAGGAGTGGAGGGGCCATGTTGGGACTGGCAATAACCTGTCTCTGGGATTGGAGGCTCACCTGCAACATGGGTAGGTGTGAGAAGTGAAGTCCTGCTGTTTGGACACAGAAGAGGGACAGTTCCACCTCTGTGGATGGGTAAGCCTGAGATGGCAATGATAAGAATCAGTCCTGTCCACCACCATCAGGTGAATACTAACTGTGGGTTACAGTTGGTACTAAATGTGGGTTAGCTCTTGTTTTCCCTGGTTATTCTTATCCCAATTTATAGGCAAGTAGCCTTGCAGTGAAGTGACAGCTGTGCCCATAGGATCTCTCTTAAGAGAGGCGAGAGAGGGTTTGGGGAGCTTCTCTGAGCCAGGCTAGGTCTAACTCTTAGTCTGGCACCTTACAGCACTCCTCAGGTGGGAGCATCCCAAGGGGCTTGGGCCCTGCAGTTCTGGGCCCATTATTTTTGGTTCAACACTTAAGGTTTTAAAAGTTACACAACTACTCTTTGTGTTTAAAAATTGAATAATCCACATGATTCAAGAAGTTTAAAACAGTGCCAGGCTGTTGCAAAGTGAGATCCATGTTTATTACTTACCATCAAGACAGTTTCTCCATGGGGTGTGGATGGCACTGGGACATACTCTGGTTCTCCCCTTCCTCCCATTCTGTTTTCTCTCAACCCTTGGGGGCCTTCTCCTGCTGATATACCCTTGTCTAGATGCATACATATATTGAGCCAGGACTTTATTCCCTGAGCTTCTTGGGACCCCCAAGGGAACTCCCAGACCATCATCCACCTCCTTCACCTTGGCCAAAAGATCTGTCCTAAATTCACCTCTGCCTCTGTCCTCAGGATGTTCTGGAGTCAAAGAATAGTACCATCAAGGACCTGCAGTATGAGCTGGCCCAAGTCTGTAAGGTATGCACCTGCCTCCCTGCCTCCTCCCTTGGCTATGACCTGGCATCTGGCTTCAGCCTGTAGACAGTGTGACTGCTGACCATCTCTG